ACTACTCTCCTCCCAGCTTTGCTTGAGCCAAGCCTCAGGAATCACATTCCAAGAAGTGAAAATAAATACTGAATGGAGATAATTCATCATTTGTGAGCACTCTAGCCCTTGCCTTCTCGTAAAGCTTCCTGTAACTGTAGTCCATTTTTTAATAACTAGGTTGCTTTTAGAAATTAGAGGTTTAGTTTACATCCAGAAACCTAATATAAAACTACAATTCACAGCCACCGGGCAAGAAACTGCTCTCACCTCTGCCAATGCATCTTGCCTGGCTGGCTTGACGCTGAGACCCAGCAAGGGTAGCCGGTGAGTCCCCAAGGCTGGCAGCCCAAGGACGTGAGAGGAGGCTGCAGCAGTGACAGGAACCCCTCTACTAACTGGGAAGGCCGATCAGGCTGACTGGTTGGCTTATCAGGCTCCCCGTCTTCCCTTAATATCTCAGGTGTTCCGTTTCCAGCTGGCCGTGATACAAAGAGGTTACATGGTTCTTGCACCAGAATTCATCTCCTTCACCATAGCCTAGAGTTGCACATTCAGTTCTAATAGTTTCCAAGTTCACGGCTAATCAGAATGACTACAGTTCCCAAAGAGCAAATGGCTCTGTTCCTTCACCTGCCACTTGTTCAGGGGCCTAAGAAGTGCCAGGCACTTGGAGATAAAGTACTGACCAATACAGGGTGGTCCCTATTTCCCCCGGCTGATGTAGGAGGAGATGGGACAGAAGAATATGGAAATAAAAATGACTGCCAATAAAATCATTACACAGTGTGCTGGCTGCTAGCAGGGACATAAACAAAGCCAAGGAACTTGCACTTTCTGGGGATATGAAGGGCAATTTCCTTTCCAGTGCAATCAAAATATAGAATTAAAAATTCATGTAATTTAGGGGTGCCTGGGTGGCTCAGTTAGTTGAGCGTCTGACCTCAGCTCACATGATTTCAAGGGTTCATGAGTTCAAGCCCCACATCAGGCTCACTGCTGTCAGCGCAGAGCCCACTTCAGATCCTCTGTCCCCTCTCCCTTTTGCCCCTCCCCCACTCATGCTCTCGCTCGCTCTGTCTCTCAAAACTAAATAAAACATTTAAAAAATTCATGTAATTTACTGATCCCCCCAAATATACTCTAAAATTGACTTTAAAAAATTAAGTCGCAGATGCTAGCTTGCCATTATCTCTAGGTTAAAAGCGAAAAGCCATTCCAATTGCAAAGACTAGAAGCAGTAAGTGGATTCACCTGGGCACAAAACCATCGCCTGAAAAAGTGCTTTCTTTTAAGGAAAGTGGAGCATATCCCAAACAAGCAACCAAGCAATCAACCCCACCTAAATTGGAGATGGCCCCCACAATCATATGGCTAACTGGGCTTCGACAAAGCAGGAAAGAACACCCAATGGAAAAAAGACAGTCTCTTCAACAAACGGCGTTGGAAAAACAGGACAGCGGTATGCAGAAGAATGAACCTGGACCACTTTCTTACACTGTGCACAAAAATAAATTCAAAATGGATGAAAGACCTAAATGTAAGACGGGAAACCATCAAAATCCTAGAGGAGAAAGAAGGCAGCAACCTCTCTGACCTTGGCCATAGCAACTTCTTACTAGACACATCACCTGAGGCAAGGGAAACAAAAGAAAAATGAACTACTGGCACTTCCTCAAAATAAAAAGTTTCTCTTCTGCACGGCAAAGGAAATAATCAACAAAACTCAAAGGCAGCCTACACAATGGGAGAAGATATTTGCAAATGACATATCTGATAAAGGGTTAGTATCCAAAATCGATAAAGAACTTATCAAACTCAACACCCGAAAAGCAAATAATCCAAATCAGAAATGGGCAGAAGAAATGAGAGACATTTTTCCACCAAAGATATCCAGATGGCTAATAGACACATGAAAAGATGCTCAACATCACTCATCATCAGAGAAATACAAATCACAAGCACAATGAGGTACCACCTCACCCCTGTCAGAACGGCTAAAATGAACAAGAAACAACAGGTGGTGACAAGGATGTGGAGAAACGGGGGGCCCTCTTGCACTGCTTAGGGGAAAGCAAACTGGTGCAGCCACTTGGGAAAACAGTATGGAGGTTCCTCAAAAAGTTAAAAATAGAACTACCCTATGACCCAGCAACTGCACTAGGTATTTGCCCAAAGGATACAAAAATACAGATTCAAAGGGGTATGTGCATCCTGATGTTTATAGCAGCATTACCAATAATAGCCAAACTATGGAAAGAGCCCAAATGCCCATCAACTGATGAATGGATAAAGAAGATGTGGTTTATATACACAATGGAATATTAGCCATCAAAAAGGAAATCTTGCCATTTGCAAGAATGTGGATGGAGCTAGAGTGTATTATGCTAAGTGAAATAATAAGTCAGAGAAAGACAAACACCATGATTCACTCATATGTATAATTTAAGAAACAAAACAGATGAACATACAGAAGTTGGGAAGGAAGAGGGAAACAAATCACAAGAGATCTCTAAATGATAAAGAACAAAGTTGATGGAGGCAGGTGGGTGGGGGCGGGCTAGATGGGTATTAAGAAAAACACCTCTTATGACGAGCACCAGGTATTGTATATTAACTGATGAACCACCTGAATTCTCCTAAAACCAATGATGCACTATATGTTAACTAACTAGAATTTAAATATTTGAAGAAAAGAGAAATGTTTAAAAATTAAAAAATAAATGAATAAATAAACTGGAGGGGCGCCTGGATGGCTCAGTCGGTTGAGCGTCCGACTTCGGCTCAGGTCATGATCTGGAAGTTGGTGAGTTCAAGCCCTACATGGGGCTCGCTGCTGTCAACGCAAAGCCCACTTCAGATCCTCTGCCCCCCTCTCTCTGCCCCTTCCCTTCTTGTGCTCTATCAAAAATAAAAGTAATAAAATAATAAGAAAAATAAACCGGAGACCGCCAAGTTAAAACACTAGTCTTGCTTTCTACAATGTCCAGTTAAAACACAATCACATCAACCAGTCTTTGAGGAATATGAACCTACATTGTCCGAATTACCTAATCTTTTCAAATGTGCTAACCACAATGACCTCATATTGAAGCCTAGTGACCTTAAGATACATTTGACTAGAAATCTGACCCATATGGGCAATAACCTGAATTTCCATCAAGGAATCTGCAAGCACTAAATGATGGAACAAAAAGGAGCCCAGGCTTCATCTGTGCTTCAGGGGGGGTACAAAAACAGCTCTGAATTGTCACTGTGGGGGAAACCTACATTTCTTAAGATTGAAATGTAATCTCCTCCCGTTTAACTCCAAACTTTTTGTCAATCTGATTGGCTTTGCTTTCTCTACCAAAATTAGAGACCAAAGCCTCTAGATTTGCTCCCTGCTACCGTGTCTCCACTTCTTCCCAAACATTTATAAATGCCGGCCTACCACTAGTTAGGAAGTTACATCTGGAAGCTTCTACCCCACCTTTCTTTCTCCACCCCTATGGCCATACACTGGGGATGGGTGTGCAGATTTGTAATCTAGTCCTCTTGACACAAATTAGGAATTGAACAGGAATGCTCTCTTTCTTTACCTTTTTTAAAGTTTATTTTTATTTAAGAGAGAGAGAGAGAGAGAGAGAGAGAGAGAATCCCAAGCAGGCTCCCCACTGTCAGCACAGAGCCGGACACAGGCCTCAATTTCTCGACGGTGAGATCACGACCTGTGCCAAATTCTAGAGTCGGACACTTTACCCATGAGCCACCCAGGCACCATCTCTCTTTTTAAATGATCTCCAGAGAATTTCCCATCAGTTCCCTCCCTTCACCCAGCTTTGTAACGACTACCCAAAAATTCTTATCATCCTCAACCTCTGCCATCCACCTGTGCTCCTTTCTGTCCCCATGGAGAAGATCAGTGTAAGGCCTTTGCCAAGACCTGCCCCCTCCCTCTCCTCATCCTCTGCTTTAAAGCCACTGACTTCCCATCTCAAAATAAAAGTCAAAACCCATAGAGTTCCTCCATCCTCCAGCCAGCCTGCCACCTCTTCTAACTCCCCAGTCTCATCTCTTTCTTCTCTTTCCCTCCGCTCCCTGCTCACACCTTTACTCTTCTTTCCTGCCTGGAACTTCTCTCGAGGGGCTTTCTCAAATGCTACCTTCCCTTACCCTCCACCTTCCATTAAAACCAAACCTCCAACTCCCTACCCCCACACAAACTTTCTACTTATTTTGTTAACTATCACCCCCGAGGTTCCAGGAATGCAGGGATTTCTCTGCTTCCTTCCCTGGTGTATCCTTAAGGTCGAAAAGAGTGCAAGTTCAGCGGCAGAGAGTTCAGTAACCATTTGTGAATGAAGAGTCATTCACTTGACAGGCACTTGCTGGGTGCCTCGTCGTGGCCGGGTTTGTTAAGAAGAATAAGCCAGTGGCAAAGCCTTTAAAGCACCCGATGGAGAAATGCAACACAAAATATGCATTGCAGGACCGCGAGCTAAGACCTCGGGCAGGTCACAGACGTGCCCAAGCCCAGCGGAAGAGGCCTCGGCCTCGCCTTTCTGGGAACCGGTCCGGCTTCTCTAGAGGGTCTCCTCTAGACCCCGAGAGGAGGGAAGCGCACTCGCCCCCACCTCCACCCCGACCACCCCAGGCCCAAGAGGTTATGAGTCCAGAGCCACAACTTCCGGGCTCTTCACTCCAGAGGCAGGATTTAACGAAACACATTTAAAAGCCTCTGCGCTTCAGCCACCGCCCCCTCCTCTCTGCCCTGCGGCCCATCGCCTAGGGCTGCCCGGGACCGGACCCGGCTCGGACCTGACTGCCGGGTCCCACAAGCGCGCCCCACTTCCGCGGCCCACACCTGTTCCCGGCGTCCCGTTCGGCTCCTCTCTGCGCGTGTGCGAGCAAGCCCACGTGGGTTCGGGAGAGGGTGGCCGCGCGGATGGGAGGGGTGGGGCTGGACACGCCCCCTCGCGTGAAGCTGCCTTCTGATTGGCTGCCTGTCGCTGGCCTGGCCCGGTCGGAGCCGCCCGCGGCTGCGCCTCTAAAGGCGCTGCGGGTCTAGGCTTGCGCTACTGTTTCCTGTTCTTGGCCGCCTCCGCGCACTCCCCGGGATCCTTGCAGTCTCCGCCAGCATGTCTCAGGTAGAGCGCGTGCCTAGCCTGGCCGCTAAGGTGCGGCGGGGCTGGAGGCCGGGGGTGGGAGAGGAGGTACTATCCCGCAAGCAGGACCCCGCAGAGTCTTTCCCTTGCCGGCCCCCGCTGTGCCTCCTGGACCCGTGCCCCGCTATGACTCTTCGCACAGAGCCTTGTGAGCGGAACTTTCCAGGTTTGGACTTCACTCCCCACCCGCAACTGCTGGAAAGTTGCCCGTGGGGTGGACTTCGCGGTGAAGCAGAAACAGGAGTTGGAAGCGAGGGTCCTAGGTAGCAAGATGGCAGGTAGAGAGAGGGTGGCAGGGATTGAAGCAGCAAAGGGACCGAGTTCCCCATCCGGAAGGTCAGCGCCAGAGTCGGGACGCCATGCAGAATGGGGAAGCAAGGAAGTGGTTGTTAACAGTTTAGAGGTCAGGGGACTGAGGGGCCGAGTGCCCAACGTACGAGAAGGGGAGAGGTGACCCAGAGGCCTTTCCCTCCTCGGAACGTAGCCTCTTCTGAGACCGAGCTGTGTGGGATGACCTCTGACTCATCACCTCGCTCCAATCAGAACACGGGAAGAGAGGTCAGCGCTGGACGCCTGGCCCCTGGGGGGAAGGCTCCAATGGCTTCTGGCCAGCCTAATTCAAAACTGTCCCGTCTCAGCGGTTTCAAACCCGCTGTGCTAGCCCTATCCAAGTCAGGGCTTTCCTGGGACCCCCGCTTGGCCCGGCACACGCTGCTTTTTCAATGAAGGGAATACCTACTGCAGGCACAACTAGCCTTCCTCCTTCACCCCTGGGTTCTAGCACCTGGTAAATAGAGAATCCAGTACGTAGTTGTCCGTCGAGAGGGGAGTGAACCAATGGGCTTCCCCTCCTTGTTTTGCTGAATCTGTCTGGCTGCCCTGTAGGGGAGATGAAGCGACACACTGCTTTTCCTCTGGGGCATCTCAGGACTGCTGCCTTTCTCGCTGTCTTTCCCCATTACCGAGCTCTATGTAGGCCTTTCCTGTTCCCCCACATTTAGGCTGAGTTTGACAAAGCTGCTGAGGATGTTAAGCACCTCAAGACCAAGCCAACAGATGATGAGATGCTGTTCATCTACGGCCACTACAAACAGGCCACCGTGGGCGACATAAACACAGGTACGCTGAGAGGAGCTGGGAAGGCCCCTCCCCATCAAAGCAGGTGCCACAACCTTGGTGGGTGCCCAAACTCCCAATCTGCGGGAGTGGCACTCTCAAAACCACCGAAGCCCTGCTCTTCTGGTGGGACATGGTAATGGTTCTTGGGGTCCCCCCCAACAAAATCACATTCCAGAATGGGACTCCCAGGTGGCCTCAGGTAGCAGACTTCAGAACCTAGTTTGAGGAGAACTTGATGGCCTATCACTAACATTTGGGGATAGAAGCAGAGACCCCAGCTTGGCAGAGACTTGGGCCATGCTCTGAACTCAGTAGTAGCTTCGTTGAACCACGCTCCTTCAGCAGGGTGCCTCCCCGGACAGGCAGGGTAGAAGTCCAAGCACTAGGCAGCCTGCTCTCGGGAGCAGAGAAGCCACTGCCTCCCTGGGGCAGGGTCACAAGCTGTATTGCTGAAAACAGTTCCTGATGACCGTTTCTTGCCTATCAAAAAATCTGGGTGCAGATTTCGAGGCCATAGTTTAGACTTCCATAGTCTGAATACAGTCTTTTCCTGCCTTGGACTGTTTTTATTCTGCCCCCGAGTCCCTGAAATCCAGCCGTATACGAGGCAGCAGCAAGGGCTCAAAGGCGGTGGCCATGGCAGCACAGAAGGGGGTCACCCCCTTCTCTGTTCAGGAGGGGGGCCTGGCCCCCAATTCCAGTGCGGTTGGGGTGGAAGGTGGAGCGTGTTGGTGGCCGCCAGCCATCTGGAAGCAGGAGATGGTGCCCAGAGCTAAGGATCACGAGCAGTGCCAAATCAAAGTTCACAGGAAGGGCTTAGCTGAGAGAGGTCTTGAGGCAAATAAATGTGAGTGTTATGCTAGGTTTATAAACTCCGTGTCCTCCCCGGGAGGAGAGGGAGAGATGAAGTGGGGGTGACCAGAAGGGCTGAGATGCTTTTCTGCCAGACAGGATTTTCACAGATACTGGCCTCTGCGCTTTTACATGAGTACACATAAACTAGCTTGAGTCTCTCTCTCTCTCTCTTCCGGACTGGGGAGGCTTCCGTTCATCCACAGGCTGCACTCACTGTCCAGTACAGTCACCACTAGCCACGTGTGGCTAAGTTTAAATCAGGAAGAGCTAAAAAATCCAAAGCTCAGTCCTCAGTTGCACAGGAGCCGCAAGAGGCGAGTGGCTCTGAGTTAGTGCAAATGTACATTTCCACGTTCACTACGAGGGCCGTTGCAGTGCGCTTGCTCTTCCTAGATGACAGCTTTGCGGGTGCACCTTCTGGTAGCCCTGGGAATACTTTCCAGAAAGCACCCGGGGGGATTTGATGTTTCTCGGACACTGGGCACCGCCATCGCTCCTTGTGCCTTTGTTCTCGGCATGGTGGTAAACTAGGTCAGCGGGGAGGTGGTGAGTGTGTTTCCTGGGAGCAGCTGAAGACAGGCCTGAAAACATTAAATCATGGTACAACTTTAAGGATGCCTTTAGGGGAAAAAAACCGCCCACAAATCAACAAGAAATAGACTAACAATTTGGTAGAAACATGGGGCAAGATTATGAACATGGGGCAAGGTATGTTCACAGTAAGGGACTCCCAGAAAACTGATAGCAGTAATAACATGGAGGAGAAAAATTGGGGGGCTGAGAGCAGGGGTGGGAGGGAAACTTTATAGTCGCCCTCTTTATAGCATTTGAATCTTAAGCCATAGGAATGGATGAAGTATTTGTTTTAAAACAAAATTTTCTTACGTATGTTTTTTAAAAGAAATTGTGGAGTTCTTTAACTTTTAGGACCAAGACTGTCTACTAATGAAAACAGTTTTCTTCCTATTTTCTTTACATCGTAATTTTGGGTTTCTGTACACCTGGGTTTCTAAAGGCAGAACTCACTATGCTAGACCCATTTAACTCCATAACGGAGCATGGAAGGGACAGATGAAGTGAAAAGACTTGTCTTTTCTTTTGGGACAAGAATGTTGATAATGTTCTCCATTAGAACTTGAAGCAGATCTGGGGCACCTGGGTGGTGCACTTGGTTGAGTGCCCGACTCCAGTTCAGGCCGTGATCTCACGGTTCATGAGTTCAAGCCCCACAATGGATTCTGTGCTATGAACAGAGCCTGCTTTAGATCCTCTGTTCCCCCTCCCCTCCCCCCACCTCTCAAAAATAAAACATTAAAAAAAAAAAGATCTTGAAGCGGATCTAATGTCTTTCCTTCCCTTGTTTCAGAACGGCCTGGGCTGCTGGATCTCAAAGGCAAGGCCAAGTGGGATGCGTGGAATCAGCTGAAAGGTAATTGTTCTCATCGGTTTCTCTAGTTTGTGAAGCCCAGAAATGAAACAGGCTTCATTACAGAGTGTAAGGGGTAAAGAGAGAAAACAAAGTGGGTGAGGCCCATGCTAGAGACCAGCCTCACCTGGCCAGAAGGGAAAAAAACTGGGCCACCTACTTTTCCCCCTGATCCCATGTACACCTTCTCCCAGAGTACCATCTCTGAGCAATGGCATCACCTGGAGAGGAGGAGCCGGGGACCGGGTACTAAAAAATGGACCAGAGGGTAAAGAGTTGGCCTGGGTTTCCTGTGTGTTCACGAGGAGTGGGGTTTCCTGCGCGCACCTTCCTCTCTGCAACAAGGCCGGGGAGTGACCCCCGCCCCTCCCCAGCTCCCTTCCAGCCAGAAAAGCACATAAAAGAAAGGAATGAGCTAATGCAGGGCAAGCTGCTGGCACATTGCAGGCCCCTGAATGGGGCCATTATATGCTAAGCAACAGCAGCCAAGAAGTATCCTGGCTGCGACTTAATCACGTGCCACCTGAGGCAGCAAGACCCACAGTTGGCACTGACGGGCCTGCCAGCTTCTGGGTCGCTAGCTAGCTTCTGAATGAGCCCTCTGTCTTCCTGCAAATGAGGGACCCTTGAATTCAAAAAGGGCCAGGATACAATCAACGCACTCCTAGGATTTGCAAGGAACTGGGACAGGAATGCCCGTCTGGCTGCCCATTGTCAGTGTCCAGGGGCCGCGTACCCTCCAGTGCTTCAGAAAGTGCTCCGATTCCCAGGATGTCTGCCCTTCGCCGCAGCCCCCAGGAAACCGGGCGTTGCTACTGAGGGGTCCATCCGGTCAATACCCTTTGGACCCCAGCCCGAAGGCAAAAATATGCCTCCTTCCTCTCCGTGAGCCACCTGCTTTTGCTCAGAGTTCTCGAAACTTTACTCACAGCCTCCCTCTGGGGAGAAGAGGGCATCTGGCTTTGTTCTTTCACTGCCACAGCTGGCAGATAAGAGCCACCGGAAGAGGGCTACGAGATAGGCCAAGGCCAACCAGGAGAGGAGGTGGGACTAGAGCCACTACACTCCCCCTGGTGGGCTCTCCTGCCTGTCTGCAGTGTCCGGCCTTTCTCCTGAGGCTCAGGACGACCGCTCATTCCTGCAGTGGGGGGCTCACAGGGCCCGCAGGCCAGCAACCAGCCTCAGGCCCACTGCGTACACACTATGGGTTCAGGGCTCCAGGGAGCATTCACCAGGGGCCCAGCTCCTTAAGTATTACAGGCCACGCCTGTGAGGTGCAGGTAGTGGAATTTCCACCTTAGAGGTGAGAAACTGAGCCTCCGCACATTAAACGGGGGGAGGGGCTGTCTAGGGCCCCAGTCTGCTGCTTTTCGACCATGCGGCCTCTCTGACAAATAACCCTGTTGATCCCTTGCAGGGACTTCCAAGGAAGATGCCATGAAAGATTATGTCAACAAAGTAGAAGAACTAAAGAAAAAATACGGAATATAAGGGACTGGATTTGGCTGCCGGCAAAGCAGTTCGTCTAAACTGATACGATGCCTTGTTTTTTCTAATACCAGGGATGACGTGAAATAATGAAAACAGCCCGTGAACCTAGATCCTGAAGACGATCTAACAGTAGGGGCCAAAATGGCTACTGACGGGCTACTGAGTAGTTTTTATCTGTAGATCAATTAAAAGTGCATTTGTTATTTTAAGTCTTCAGTGATCCGCATTCTTGAAATCCTTTCCTCTGTTCCTATCACTCTTCCTCACTTCCTTTCTCTAAAGACTTGGTCTGGGAGAGTTGGAGCTTAGCCTCCACCCTGCAAGGGTACAGGCAGGCAACCACCTCTCCAAAGCCTGAAGCACGCCCTCCTCCAGCGGGGAGGAAAAGAACTACAGAAACAGCCTTTCCTAAGTCCTCGTTCCTCCCCGCCCCAGCCACACCAGTCGCGTGGGCTGGCTGAGACTTCAGGCCGCAGGGACTGCCGATTCTGTGCTGGGGACACTGCCGGCCTCCAGCTCTGAGGAACACAGGGCTGACAAATATTTATGGTTCGTCTGCGGTCCATCCAGTCCCTGGTTCCAGAGCAAATGAACGAGGCTAGAAGCCGCACTCAGGAACGAACCATACACCTGCGCAGAGGCCCAGGGTCATGGGCAGCTGGGCAGGCGTAACCAAGCAGTGGGGTGGGCACTTAGCAGGGAGAAAGGAAGTGAGGACCCACGAGGCCGGGGAGTAAGCTTACAAAGAAAGGCTGGGGCTTGACCCTTGGGCGTGTAGTTAGTTTGCTGAAAAGAAAGAAAAGGAGATGGCGGGGCAGGCCCTCCTTGCCAGGAGCTCTGCTCCACTCAGTTCCACTCAGGCTTGCAAGGAAGGTCAGGGTTTCCCCATTCTGCGGATGAGGATACGGAGGCCGAAAGGAATCGAGGAGAAGCTCCTTGAGGCCGGGCAGCTCTCCGTTCCCTCCAAAGCCTGTGTGCTGCTCTTAGACGTTGTTCAGCCAAAAGATCAATGAGGCATGTCCGTTACAGTGACTTGCCCAAGGTGGCTCAGCTGGGGGACCATCTAAGAGCCAGCATTCCCGGGCACATCTCCCTGGCTCAGATGCCTGTACCCGGCAAGGTGGCCCCACGGGCGTGACCTGTGCCGGAACAGCAGGGAGAGCAACTGTCTGGTACGGCTGGCTGGCGTACGGCATGCCGTCCATGTAAAATGGGACTGGATGGAAGTCTTGATGATGAAGTTGAAAAGTACAAAATTTGTCCTCAGAGGTGAGAGGCACCTGCTGGGCAGGAGATGGGGTCACAGGCGTTCGGTGACTACATCAGGGGGTTTTGAGTGTGGTGACTGCCCAGTTACAGCCCTGCCTGCTCAAGGAAAACTAGGCCCAGAAGCTCAGGGGTAGATGGGGACATGCTCCCAATGGGGTCAAAGTCTAAAACCTAGCCGTGCAATGTAAATGAAGTGACTTCCTAAGTAGCAATACCATTTACACCAGAGTTAGTCTCCCCGCCCGCCCCCCCGGGGCACTAATGTGACTGAGGGCGGGAGGCAGGAGGCCGTCAGGTCTGCTCTCCCACCCAGCCGCGCTCCACCCGCCCAGTCATGCCAGCCACCAAGGCTGCAGAATGGCCGGCTCCTCTGAGCCCTGAGGGAGGCAGTAGGGAGCCATAGCCACTCACCTATTACTACCTGGATCATCTGCTTTTGTCAATTGTTGGCTGCTTCCGGTGGAAACCAAAGGAAAAACCACCTCGAATGGAGCGCAGCACGTGGTTCTTGCCCACACAGACCTGGCTCTGGGGTCAGGCCCAGCTCACCTACCGGGAAGGCGGTGGTCCGCGTGAGATGGAACTGTGTGAGAAACGTGCGTGCCTGGTGTGTGGTACTTCCTCTGGAAGTTTCCTCTAAAAACCAACTCTCATCCCTGAGAATATCTCTTGCAGTGTCTCTCAGAGTCAGGGACGTGGCCCAGAAGCAACTTAACGGCTGCGGTGGTGGCCCTGGAGTGGGTGTGGGTGACACAAAAGCTGCCCAGTCCTGCAGCTCATGCGTGGAAGCCGGGGACCGGCAGGGGTGTGCCCGGGCCCCGTGTCGCTGTCCCCCGTCGCTGCCCTGCTGCCAGCCAGGCCTCGGCCTGGGGAAGCCTGGGCAAAGGTAGTGCGGCCCGGCCGCCTGCAGTTCCGCAGCTGGGAATGTGCTAGGCGTAGTCGTGTCCCTTCTCCCGCGGATGCAGGTGTGGATGCAGGTAGCAAGGAACCGCCATGGGAGAGGAAAGGCCCAACCGCCCACGGCTGGTGTGGCCTCCAGGGCCAGGCTGTCCGTTGTAAGAACCCTCAGGGCCGGCCTCCCACACAGGCTGGTGACTTTAATCCTGCTGTGAAGTGGGCACTACCCTGCAGTGCTCTGTGATGGGAAGTACCCAACCCATTATTCAGACGAGGGAATCAAGGCTCAGGGGATGCAAATGCATCCAAACCCAGCAGTCTCTGTCCAGGAAGGTCCCCGTCTGTCCCATCCTCTCTCATGACCACGGCTACTGCTCAGATTTGCATCTCCACTGTCGCTCAGAGGACGAGGGTGATACTTGGGCTAACAGAAGGTGCTAGAAGCCTTCCACATACTGTGCACATCTTCCTGAGGAGTGGCTCAAGGACACAGGTCGGTCGCATCTCCCAGGCCGGGGCAGGGCTCTAAGGAGACATACCTTTTTAAGCAGCTCAGGTGATTCTGACTCTGCGAGGTTTGGGAGCCATGCAGCACCCCCATCTGCCCCCCACCCCCCACCCCGACACACACACACACTATAAAGTAGCGGTACTGGCTTCTCCTGAAGTAACAAGTTGTGTTCTGAGAACATGTCACCAGTGGGCTCAGGCCCCATGCCTTCTCCGATGGCTTCTGCAAAAGCCTGCATACAGCCCCAGGAGAATTTCCAGGGAGCCATTTGGGAGCAAATGAGTTGGTCAGAGGAGCAGGCAGGGCGCCCAGTCTTCCCCATCTCCTCCGTGAAGCATCACAGCTCCCCATGGCACTTCTCACCTCCAATCCGCCTCTGGTGACAGACTTACCTGTGAATCCCACTGCCGTCTCTCAGGCGCCGGATCACGAATCTTCTTGGAGCCGCATTTTCTTCATCTAGAAAATGGGCTGATAAAATGGGTAAAGGCCGTCACACAATGCCTGGCAGACACGACTTCCTGGCGGCCGGAGGCCTTCCCTGGTGCACACACTTCCCTCTCCATGACCTGGACAGGCCCCGGCCTGGAGCCACAGATGCCGTTCCCCACCGGGGCCGGGCTCCAATGCGTGGGAAGTTATTAGCGCGGGTTATCTCTCGGGACAAGAGGAAGTCCAAAAGCCAAAAGCCTGGGCACCAGTGTTGAAGATCAATAAGGGACTTGCCCTGCCACTGCCCGAGTTACACAGGCATGAGCCAGGCTAGGTCACCACTATAAGCCACAGTTTCTTCACCAATTAGATGAGCCTGAGCAGAAGGCCATTGTCCAGTGTAAAAAGGAAGGAAAGCCAGAGGAGGAGAAAGAAGGCCCGGGAAATGCTGGCCTTGATGGGAGTCAGACTGGGAAGTTGTGAGGGGGTGGGTTAAGCAGCCCGATGATTAAAGGTGTTTGAAATTAAATTACAGGTGTTTGGAGTTGAAGACAGGCCAGGAAAAATAACCAGCAGAGGCGGGCGTTAGCAGAGCTCTGCCTTTGGGGTCTGGGTCAAGGCTCGACTACGTCTCTGCCCTTGGCAGCTCGCAAGGAAGAGACCAGAATCTTTCCTCTGTTAGTTATTTATTTGTGTGATTGCGCATGACTTCTCTTTTGAAAGAACATGGGGTAGCTAAGAACAGGCCAAAAAATAAGCAAAGCTCCCTCAGGAGTCCAGAGTTTAAAGATAACTCACATGTCATCTTTTGTCATCCTTGAAAGATCTGGAAACCACAAACTGCAGGCCAACAGAGGCGCCCTGGGGTGCCCTCTCTGTAATCATCCCCAGAGACTCCGCCCCTGTTTTGCAACATGCCCCCACCTGCTGCTGTGGTTACACCTCAACCCTGGGAAGACCAGGAATTGGTCAACTGACAGCTTTTCCTCTTTTTTTTTTTAATGTTTTTTACCATTTATTTATTTTGAGAGAGCAAGCATGAGTAGGAGAGGGGCAGAGAGAGAGGGAGAGAGAGAATCCCAAGCAGGTTCTGCTCTGTCAGCGTGGACCCTGACATGGGGTTCAAACTCATGAACCATGAGATAGTGACCTGAGCCAAAATCAACAGCCAGACACCTAACCTGCTAAGCCACCCGGGTGCCGTAAGCGGTAGCTTTTTCTTATGTTTTATGATTTGGGGTAAGTCTCCTTGCTAAGTGATGAATGAACATAGCTCTAGACTGCAGATATTTTCCTTCTGTAGGTGGCTGTGAAGTCTGAAAAGCCTTGCCAGGGCAACTGCACTTGTGGCAAAAGCAAGCACAGTGCACTGCACTTGTGGGGAGGGGTAATCTCTTGGGCCCTTGACACTGGCTGCTGGCCCTGGGCTGTCTCCGCCACTTGGATCTGCTAGCCACGTGGGTGGAACAGGCAGCTGAGTCCTGGGAGAGGCCCAGGCCTTTGTCCCCTTCCCCCGGGGGCCAGCATCCCACTTCAACAAAGATATTCTTGCCCTTGGGGAAAAATTAAAAAAAAAAAAAAAAAGAATCTAGAGATGAGATCATTCTGGATATAGGATGTTTAGGATGGGCCCTAAACCAAGGACTGGTGTCCTTTTAAGAAGGAAGAGAAGGAACTTTGAGACACAGAGACGCACAGAGCAAAGGCCATGTGAAGACGGGAGCAGAGACTAGAATAATGCAGCCATAAGTCAAGAGATGCCAAGGGCTGCCAGGAACGCGGGAAGGTAGGAGACCGGCACGGAACGGATTCCCCTGCGGAGTCCCCGGAGGAGCCCGACTTGCCAGTACTTTAAATCCGAACTTAGGAGCCCCCTAAGTGAGTGTCCGAAGAGACGCTGGCAGAATCCCTATCCCCTCGCCCCCCAAGTCACATGACATCCCCCCTGCCATCATCATAAGCTCACCCAAATTCAAGCAGAGGACACAGGTCCCGTTTCTTAAGGGAAGAAGTGTCGGCCGCATCGCTGGAGGGCACTGTGGCAGCCATCAGCAGGAGTATAACCTGCCGGAGATGCATGACCTTAGCACATGAGGCCTC